CAAATGAAAATATAAAACGGCAAGCTTTAATTTACAGTGAAAGAACATATCAGGGAACTACTGGAGGAAAAGGGACTTAATGTCAGTAAGAGGGGTCAGATGAAGTCTCCACGGTCCGATGGTGCTCAGGGCACCTGGGACAGCTGAGTCTGTACCAGCTGAGAGAAGAGTAAAGGAAAAGAGGACTCCAAATGGTGGGAAGACCGAGAGGATGAAGGACAGAGGCGTGCCCAGGACGGAGTGGAAGGCGCAGGGCCAGGCGGGCGAGAGGCTACTGTTTCAGCATCAGGCAGCTGATCTGAAAGACCTGGGTGTGGAGTTGCCATAACTATCGAGAATCGTCAGCCTTTCTGCATCGCTGCACAGATCTTACTTAGATTTAGTAATTATAACTTACTAGATTGGTTTAGGCTTATTTCCCTTCAGGGAGTTTTCCTAAAATGACACCAAACATGATAAACATGTTTTATTTTCATTTGGATATGTTATGTTTTTTCCTGTGGAGGTTGTGCGTGTGTGTGTGTGTGTGTGTGTGTGTGTGTGTGTTTGAACAAATGCATATTTAAAAGTATTTGTGATCTACAGAAATAAAAAATAAAAGTATTTGCAATCTTACTAAACACATTTCTTGGATTCTACTTTATATATTTAACATCATATGACTATAAAAACATCATCATAATATAGGTAATAGTGAATTCACCAAAAGTAGTAACCATCCTTTTTGGGGGGTTATTTTGGTTTGTTATTTTAGTACTAAATATTAATTATTAACATAACTTTTGCATATTTGTTTATTCTATATAGTTAAGTGGATTGTTCTATTAAACACTAGCAATATCTTTCAAGACTCTTGATACATAGTAACAAAATGTTTTCAAGAAAGGTCACGCTAATTTGCATGCTTCCTAACAAGACACTGGATGAATATGTTCACCTGGCCACACTGTGTTAATTTGATAAGTGAAAATGGTAGGTTCCTTTAATTTGCATTTCTTTTATTCTGGTTGAATTCAAGCATTTTCATATGCCTGCTCTTTGGTCATTTGTCTTTCTTATTTGTACTCTCACATTCTTTGCCCAGAATATATTAGATGTTTTAAAATTTGATTTGATATTTATGGCAGATCTAATATTGTGAGTAGTAATTAATAGTCATTATAATTTAAAATGTCTTATCCACTTTGTCTTTTTATTTTGTTTTTGAGCTGGTAAGTAGTGCTTTCTAATTTTTGACAGTTAAACCTTTGCATGCTTATATTTGTACAAAATATTTTCTCCATCCAGAGAAAACATGTGTGTTGTTCTATTTTACAAAATACATCAGAGATTTAAGTTTATAATAATAATAATAATAATATCTGCTTCTCAGTTATTTATTTCACTTTGTATTTGTCTCTCTGAATTATTGCTATTTTTGACTCAGTCTTTGTGCTTTCTACATATATTTTTTAAGTATCTTTGTATCTTTAGGTAAAGTTACTAATCTTCCCTTCAAGCCTATTATTGGTTTTTATTAAAAGGTGTTGTTCACCTCATATGTGTACTCTTTGAAGTGAGCATTAGATATAGTTGAAAAAACTTGCCATTCATTATTAACGGACCTTCCTTATGAATTAATTTGTGACAAATTGTGTCTTCAGATATTTACCGTCTGGCAAGGTGTGATGGTTTCATTTATTTAAGCATTTTATATCTCACAATAAAATTTTCTGTTTTCTTTATAAAGACCTAATATTTCTAGATATACTACATAGTTTTGTAATTATGATTACATTCATTTATTTTTATTATGAATTCTAAGAGAATCACTAGCATCACCTCAGTGTTTTAAGAATATGCCATTTCCATCGGCAAGTTCTTTCTTTACTTTTTTATTCATTAAGCTTATGGGCACATTTTAAGTATGCAATACGATGCTATTCTTTAAATGTAGATAAATTTTGGAGTTAATAATTTCTCCACCTTCACAAAGGCAGAAAATACACAATTTCTTACACCGGCAGAGCCTGCGTCTGGCCCAGTCAGTTGTGAGGACTTGGCTGAAAGAACACATTAATGCACAGGGTGAGCACTTTTACTTTTAAGAAAAAGACCTCTAATTCAAACCAACCCGCACAATTTGATTATTTTAAATAAGGCCCAACCAAACTCTGACTAATTATTAGCTTCTAGTAATTCACCGAGATCATGAAATTGAACTTATAAAGTAAATGTGAGAGATTTAAAATATCCATAGCCACACATATCTGTTGAGAAGCCTGACAATTCCCCCTCAGGAAAATTTATAAAGAAACAATCAGAAGACAGACACACAAAAATATGTGTAAAATAATGTCCCTGATGCTTGAGAGAGCAAAAATCTGCGTGGAGGAGGAGATGTGTTCCAAAGAGTCTGGCTGCATGCACTGAACACATTTGTGATGAATGATGGAGTATGCAGATACGTATTTATTGATAAAGTATATTTATATAATTAGAGCTTCAAAATGCTACCATAAAATTCCAGAACTGTGAGGTATGACAGTAGGTTGTACATAGAAATGCAGATACGGAAATACATCTGCAAACGAGTATCAAATGACATGCATCAAAATATTAAGGCTAGAGTGAAAATTATCTTGAGGTTGTTGAGGACTTTGGCTTTTCTTTTCAGCCACTGTTACTCTCCTTAACTTTTTAGTGATCAAACATTTCTTTGGGATCACAAAATGAAGGAATGTATGAAACCAAAAGGGAGAAAAAAGGAAGTGGTAATTTGTAGTGTGTTTCACTTTATAGAAAAACTATTAGAAGATTTTAGGAAAGCTGCCTTAAAACCTCCAAACTTTCATGAGAACTTGGGAGCATAAGACTAGAATTCATTATGTGAGAGATGTGAAGAGATCTTAGGGTTCAGTTTCTTTCTGAAGCCCAACCGACCGCCATTATTGTTTATTAACATCTTGCTCTTGTTTGAGTCCCTTAAACCTAAAGTGGTTCACTTTCAGTTTTCCCAATAATTTATTCCTTTATGATAATAGAGTTTCTTATTATCTTTTTTGATTTGCACGCTGTTTCCTGTTTAATGATTTACTCTGCCTGGCATATGGGTGAAAGTTATCACACTAGAAAAATTATTATGCTATAATAATTACGGAACCATCAAACTGAATTAAATTATGTTTCATTGTAAATAGTCAAATGTATTAATTTTTTTAAAAGCCTTTTTATGCCACTGAGGATGAAGCTACCTTCATGTACTTTCATTAAACACTGTGACAGTATGAGTCACGTGGTGCGAACTGGTAACAAATCAACTCACTCCTTAAAGCACCCCTTCCCGGGGTTGGGTCTGAAATCAGGTTCCTCCAGACCATGAATTAAATCAAGGGTATTGAACAGAATCTGTCATTCTGTGAATAAAAGTTTCCCCCTTATACTGTGTGGACCTTAGGAGGCAAATCTTGGAACAATGAAATGTGGTATCCTTGGTTTAAGATAGAAATGAACCTGCCTTTTAAGTGTGCATTCTAATTTTGTCCTTAACATGTCAGCACAGCCGTGCCCGGCAGAAATACAGCTGTCCTGTGTAACTTCCAATGTCCACATTAAAGAAAGTAAAAGCAAACAGTTGAAATTTAGTAGCATATCCAAGAAAAGTCACTTCAATAGATCATAAACATCTTAAAGTGAATAATGAGAGAATACGGTATTTTTGACACTAACTCCAGTGTGTGTATTTTATATTCATGGTGTTCCTCATTGCGCTTTTACTTTGTTGATGTATTTTTATTAGTGCACGTTTGTGCTTCGTAACGATCACATTTATCAGGAGGTACGGGTACGCAACGCATCGCAATTACCTTCATCACCTCCTCCGCCCTCCCTTCTCCACTCCCTCCATCTCTTCGTCCCCTTCTCCTTTGGGAAAGCTCCATTTCCATGTTTTCTTCAATTCTCTTTTTTTTCTCCATCCCTCCTCCCCCATCTGTTTTTTCCTTTCCCCTGGGAGAAAAGATTTCCCTCCTTCTTAGTTTTTATTTTGCGCTTTATTTGTACGTTGGGTTTCTCATACTCAGATCATCCTTTTTCTCAGATGTGCTGAATCTGTAGTTAGATTTCCCAAAGTTTTTAGCTGAGAAGAGATTCACATACACAGCTATTCCCAACATACTTCAGAGTTTCCCAGTATTGCATCGAGTATCAGTTTTAGACTTAAATTAGTTGAGATTAAATTAGAAGGTCACACGGGTCACCTATCAAGAGCTGCACGGGACTGGTGGGTACTGGCTCTGTGTAGACACCGTGGGTGCAGTGCACACATATCACAGGCTACATCAGTGAAAAAAGCCAAAAGTCAAAAGACAAACACTTCGAATGTAATGTCCACTAGATTCCAAGGAACATAAGATGACTTATTTTTGTTCATTACATAAAATGTTTGGCTGAATTGATAGAATGAAATAATTATTCTTTTTTTAACAACTCATCTTTTTTTTTCTTATTCTCCACTTTTCCTTAAGGCAAAAATTTGTCCAAATTATGCTATGTCTGGGACAGACCTTAATTTGGCTGTTATATGCTAAGTTTTTGATAAAGCAAAGAATACCTACATTAAGTGGAAAAACAGCATAGTTAGTGTCGTACACACCGTATTTTGGGTTGGCTTCTAAACTGTCCCATAAATCATGTAAATAAGCACAATAAACATTTATTGAGTGATTCCGTAATACTGGGGATCTACAGGTCCATTATTTATGATGACACATAGAAGTTGGATCAGGAAAGCTGGAACTATGTCCTCTGTCCAGTAATGCCTTCCGTCAAGTTTAGAGTGGTATTTCTCTCCCAGAATTACAGCTTTGTGTAATGGCACTTGGCAGGTATTGGCATTTCTGGGATGACTTCTTTTGGCCAGCTCAGCATTCTTAAAAAATAAATAGTTTTTTCAATCTGTGATTGAAAGGGTTAAATAGTACCACTTCATTACCACTCACAAAAGGATTTATTTTGTCCTCATAAATCAGTTTTATTCCACATTTTTATTATTCCCTTGGGTGAGCCACTCCAATTGAAATGAATACAAGTGCAAGTGACACAATCAATCTAGATATTTGATTATGGATTGGAGATCCCCAGGTCTGCTTTTTAGCTGGTTTCTTTCTGGTCACCTTTCGGAAGAATTGAATATTCTTATTGACATCTGTAAGTTAAGAACATGTTTTAAAAGCATATAATAACCCTCATTTGTATACTGATAATGGAAAGCCAAAGAATGAGCCAAGAGTAAGCGATAAAGACTTAAAATATGTAACTAGAGCATTATTAACCTGTTCAAATTTCTCAATATTTTTCCTCAGATTAAGCCAAGTTTTAAGATAACTTCATTCTTCCTCTTAACAAAAGGTTATTAATACCATTGTTAGCTGTGAGCTGCATTCTTGGGGTGCTATTAGGCAAGTGAGTAATGATTTCCCTTGGCAACAGTGATATCTATTTTCACACATCTATTTTAGAGCTGAACCCACCAACTGATGCAGGTTAACAATACGAAAACAGTTAAGGTGAATAAAATGCCTTTGAAAGGATCCAGGCTGCTCCTTTTCATTTCTCTAATTACCCAAGCTGGAAGGACACCATCTGGGAATCTAAAAAAGAAAACCAGTTCAACTTTAAATTAGAGAGCAAAATTGATGAAGTTGTTGCTCAAGAGGCCAACATTTATGGATCAGAGTCTCTTTGCTTCACAAAAAAATTTATATCTTATGACCCTTTACATATTCAATGCTTATTCAGGGACCTGTAGTTCCACATTATAGTTCTCTTGCCTCAGACTGTAACCACCTGTTCTTGGTTCCTAAGCCAGATTTTTGTATGAGCACAATTAAGCCACATAGTGATCTGTTTTTTCCTTTTTAGAATGAGGCAATAGTTGATGCACTTACCTGGTTCAGTCCTTAAAATAAATCCCAAGGCACTATTAACACTACATTGGCTACTTTGGGCAAATACTTCGGCTTTGGTAGCCATTTATTATCTTTAGCAGGATCTGTGTATGAGTGTTTCACGTTTGGGGACGGCTAGCTACCTCTGATTGTCTGCTAGAAGTACATAACTGTGAATCCCTGAAAAAGTCTTTCAGAAGTGATGGAAATGGTACCGCAATCCTTCTTTCATCTGAGGAGTCACTAATTAGGGTTAGCTGCTCTGGTTAAGCCTTTAGGACAGCAGCTAGCACTATCATGCAAGCACTACACTTGGGTTTCCATTGGAGCAATCCCTGGGCCTGTAGAATTAGGGGACAGCCCGTAATGTATTTCCTTCCTGCTGCCTTCCTTTTCCATGTTTTCTATTTGAAATTGCCTAATAATTCAAAACATTTTTGAAGGTATTGTACAGTGACACAACACAGGGCTTTAGGAGCAAACATTTTTTTCCACATACCCTGTTCCACTCTTTAGAGCTTACACAAGAGAAACAACCTAGACATTGAAAATGACTTCCTTTGTTCAGAAAGGCATAACATTTTTAAAAGGTGGTCTCTGTAATTGTTTAATTCACAGGCTGGCAAGCTTTTTACTCAAGAGGCCAGAGAACACACATTTAGGCCTTGAAGGCGCTATGATCTCTGCTATAATGAGTCCACTCTGCAGTTGTAGCAGGACAGCACCCGGAACCATAAACGGCTTTGTTCCAATAAAACTTTTATTTATAAAAAGCAGCAGCTGGCCAAACTTCGCCTATAGAGTGTAGTTTGTGCACCTCTGGTTTTATTATCATTTGTTTCTAAGTTAAAATGCAATTTATATACTTGGGTATTTGAACCCTATTGTAATTCTTTTGATTTTATAAAAATTATGAAACTTACATAACATTAAAACTTAACATTTGTAAGAATCCCATTGCCTGTAAATAAATAATTTTACAAATCATGAACATCATTTCAGATCTTTTTCAATTCATAGGTGGTTTCTTGGTAGTAAACTAAAGAAACAAACTAGTGTGGGCAAAGATGAATTATAGCAAAGGGATTCAAGACTTTTCAAAGTTGCCCAGAAACCTGGGAAGCTATATGTAAACAGAAACCATAAGTAGCATGGCCCAGACTAACTTGGAACTTCGGCAAAGGACATAGAACATTCTTTTCCCACTAGAAGCGGGACTTCCACTCAAGTGCCCTGGACAATCACAGCTGTCTTCTGGATTCTCACTAACTCTAGAAACATCTAGAATAATCCCTAGCAGTCCTGCTCCATCAAGCTTTGCAGTGTCCAGGTGGCAGCAGGAGATGGTCAATGCTTGCATGACCTTCAGCTTCATGACCTTTGTGACCTTTCCTTTAACCCAACAAAAGTTAATTCGATGTCCGGTCATTTCCTTTCTGTGATCTGTCATTCTCCGATGATTGCAATATCGTTATCTTCATTTTTATGCATGGATTTGGATTATCTCGGGACTTTGCATCATGCCATTGAGCTTTAGCAGGTCTATCCAGGTCCTAGCTTTGCCTAACATGATTATTAAATAATTAATACTTTTCAAATTTCCAGTGTGCTTTTCTAAGAATACATTATTTTCCTCTAGGCTACATCGCTCTTTAGTCTTTCTTTTCTTTTGGCTATGTAGATATATACTCACTATGTAATGTCTTCCTTCAAATTCATCTTGTTGGGGCTTTGGACAGGCAGCTCTGTCCAGGCCACAAGCGTTCTGAACTCATTCCACTCCATTTGCTTTCTGGTGCTACTTTAGTCTTGTGTTGGTGTGGACTTTGGGGACTGGGTGTTGCACTTAAAGCAGTCGTCTCTGTCTGGGGAATTGAGAGTTATACAAATTGGGGAGGGAGGCTTCAGGCAGAACCCTGGAGTCTAGCGTCTCTGTCTCCTCTGAGTTCCAATCTGGTGCCTTTGGCAGGAGCACCCGCTCCACCGCTCACACCTGCCTCCCCCTGGACACCAGCTCCTCCCACAGGTCACCGAGATGCTCCACGCCAGGCCGATCCACTGCTCGTAGCATCTCTGCAGATTCTGCTCAGCTGCACGCTCTTCCCGTGGGGAGCGTTAGGGGTTTGCGGGGCTCGGCTTGGCTGCTCTCTCTTCCTCTGTGAGTAGAGCTGGGAATTGCTCTGCTGAGGAAGAATCCACGTGTCTTCCTTCCGCTGTTCACCTTCGGAAAGAACCAGCCACCCCTTTGGCTCCCTTGGATCCTTTAAGCTTTTTTTGTTAATGGTACAATATTGTTTTGCCCCTAGTTTGTTTCTATCTCGCTAGCTATTTTGGAAGAGTAATTTTGTGTTACTACTAAATGTATGCATTTTTCTCCCAAAACAATAACTTTTGAAAATTCCTGATTTAATTTCTTCCCGACAAGATGGTTTCTGACCTGTTTAGAAAGTAGACACACACATACTCTCCCATGCATCCGGTCACCCTCCCACTCTTGGTATCTACCATCTGGAGCAATCTCTGCCCCCCCCAGGCATGGCCAAAGTCCGTGACTTGCTTAGAATATGACAAAGTTTGATGGGAAGTCCCCTCCGTGGGATAACAGTATCAAAACTGTCACCTAGCTAAAACAAGTGGCCTTGCTGGAGAGGCCCTCATGGGGGAAGAAATGAGGGCAGACTCCAGCTAACAAGCCTCTACCAGCCAAGGGCAGCCACAGCTACAACCTTCAGCCCCACATCCTGCCAGGAACCAAAGGCAGGCAAGTGTCCTGGGAGGCGACCCGTCCTACCTGGAGCCTTCAAAGGACTTCAGGCCAAGCCTGCACTTTTTGAGAGCCTGAGCAGAGGACCCATAAACAGTGCCAGTCTCCTGCCCTTCAGAAACAAGGAGGTCGCAGGTGTGCATTGCTTCAATATCTCGCTGGTGGTCTACCCTGACTTCTTAGTGCAGGGCCAGTGCAGCACCACCTGACCATGTGACTGAGGCAAAGGACACAGGAGGAAGCCACCAGCAAGATGACATTGCTCCCACCCGACACGGTGATTCTGAGGTGGTTCCTGCCCCTCAGCAGAGGAGCAGTCCCAAGTAGAATCCCAGCAGTAAAAAGAGCACTCTCAACATTTCATTGCAGGTGGTGTGGGGATGGGCTCTGGGGCTGACAGTGGCAGTGAGCTGTGCTTTGATCGCAGGAGCGCTGGAGGCTTGGCGTGTTGAGGCGATGAGTGAGGTCCACCAGGGCTCCAGAAGGAGGACTTTGCCGGTCATAAAACGGGGCTGCTCAGGGTGAGGCCACTTCCCCTGGGGGCACGTTTGCCCATAGCTCCTAGCTGGTGGAGCTGGTGGCATTCTGTAGTGCGCTTACTGGGAAGAGAAATTGTCCAAGTGGAGAGAAATAAGTCAAAATAGAGAAATAAGTCTGGCAATGAAATGACAACATGGCTGGCAAAACACCACATTTCAGTGATCACACACACACACATGTACACACACACGTGTCTTTTTTAAATAACCTATATGTTTTCGAGCAGTTTTAGATTCTCAGCAATACTGAGCAGAAGGCAGAGATTTTACCTACTCCTCTGCTAATTCTTTTCCAACATTAATGAAATGAAATCCACTTAAGAACATCTGATTGTGGTGCATACAGAAAATTTGATGAAGGAAATCATGCTACAAATATTTTTAAATGACCTAAAATATTCCTGAGGGTAAGTGTACACCTGATGGTACCTCACACGCTAAAGAAGAGTCCAGACTGAACAAAACAAAATGATCTGCATGGCCTCAGATCCGTCACTGCCTCCAGGAGCGTACTTACCATCAGTATTTCTAAAGCACTTTCTGGTGGGCGATGAGAGATTCTTGTTCCTCGAAGTACACTTGTTGCAGTAGCACAGTGACCGATTTGAAATGGAATCAAGAACGTTTCGCTTTTACTACGTGACACCTAAACCAACTCAGTTTTACAGAAATTACAGTCATGGTAAGAAGCAGGGTGCAGTAACAGAAAGCAGTTCTTCTCAGAGGAGTATCTGCCTCATGACTGGCTCTTTCCTCTTCCAAAATGTTCGTGGAAAGAAGTTATGCTGGGAGATATCAATAAATGCTTTGTATAGTATTAAAAACTGAAGGCCCCATCAAATGTCCCTTTGTCTATATATCAATTGTGAAATAACCTTTCAGATTCCTGTAATTCAGAGATCTGTTGGAATGATGGAGTTTGAAGGACTGAAATGCTTTGTGGTTAAAATCATTGTAAGTGCAGTGGTGTCTTTATGAAGAATCTGCTCCCACAGATTCAATATTCGTATGCGCCACCTAGAATGACCAAGGCTCCTTAGCGCACATGAAAAGGCTGCCTCGCTTCTTTGTCCTGATTGATCTGGCAGCTGTCTTTTCACTCTGGTGTTGGCGTAATTCTGTGAGATTCACATGAAGCCACATAACTCTAAAACCGAGATCTCAATGCAGGGAAAACACAGCTTTTTTTCCAGCCAGAAGTGGGGAAATTAGTTAACACCTTTTCCACCATAAGGTGTGATTGGATTCAGGAAAAGGCTAACTTAAAGCAAGACCAGGTCTGACATCTAAAATCCACACAAGGTAACGAGAATCAGTTTGGTTTGTTCGCTGTCACTTCTCATTATAATCTCTGTCATGAGAACGGATTCATGTTGTGCCATTTTCGGTTCTTGTTACAATCTTTGTCACATGAATAAGATATCAGGATGTTAATGCCTGGCATACAGGAGTCCATGTGTGGCGACAGCACGCAGGGCTGTGCTGACCTTTGCAATATTATGTATTCTGATTGGTGTTTCATTTCACCTCTTTCCCACAAGTTAATAAGGCTGTAAAAAGGAGAGAAGAGAAATAGCCAGCCAGTCAAATTATAGAATATTGAAAAGGTCAGAGCAGTACGGCACAGAGGAAGAAAATTATGGAATATATGGTGCATTAAGATTCTTGTGACAATGATTATAACAAGAATGGGAAAGGATACCCGTTTATGTTATTTCGATCTCGAGAATCCCATAGGATGCTGTTCCCAGGGCGGTGTCATTCCTGCCCCCACCCCCGCATCATATAACGGAAGACAGACACCTACACGGATTTTTACTTTAAAAATGATTGCATAGGATATGCCTGCTAGTCGGCAAGTGAGGACATTCAAAGTAAGATTTTTGTACTTTAGAAAATAAATGGGCATCGATGTCCTGAACATTCAGTAGGATTTGATGTTTGAAGCTGAAGGGACTGTACGAGTGAAAGCTGCTGGCCCCATGAAATTTACCTCCGCTATTTCTCCGCGGAGCACATTTTTCTTCCGAATAAAGTAGGAAGGTGGGACTGAATGTTTTAATATCTTTGAAGATCCTTTGAAGAGTAGCGTGTCTGAAATAGCAGCGAAGAGTATATTTTTAAATTCGTGCATGATTCATTCAAACTTTGTTTCCTCCTTGGCGATGGCAAAGCCTCCTTTCTTTTGCACTCGCTCACTGCGTGGAAAAGGGCGGTGGGAGACAGGAAACACCTCACTCAGAAGTCCCGAGCCGTCCTTCTCAGACGTGCAATAACAATCAGTCATTTTAAAAATTTGTTTTTATAAATATTTAAAATGTCCTATGGAACAGTGCTATTCGACTTTGTAGAGAAAATCCAGCTTTTCACTCTCTTTGGCTGTATTAGTTCCCTAATTGAGTAAACATTGTATAACCCAGTTCTAGACTCTAACGACATCACTCGTAAGGAGACCAAATATGATCTAATTACTTTTAAAAGCAGGGGAAATGGGTTTTGTTTGTTATTTTAAGGCCAGGCAAAGTATAGATTTAAACCAGTAGTTCTCAGTTGCTATGGTGATGAAGCCTCATGCAGTGGCTGCGGGCCCTGCCTCCTACTGTTCTCACCCAGAAGTCTGGGGTGCACCTCAAGGTGGGAGTGTGGACAAGGTCGTCCCAGGTGGGGCGCTGCTCGTACCTGGGCCCTGGGATGCTGGTGGACACAACCCGCTCCCATGAAGGGTTTCCTGAAAACCCGGCTGATGTCCAGTGGCTCGGACAAAGCCAGGGTGGATGCAATTAGTTCCACGAAACAGTACAGACCTGGGGTCAGAGGTCAGAGGTCAGGGTGCAGGGGTCGGAGGAACTGTGATTCCGGAACACGGAAGCTGAAATGGACCCGCACATCCTCTTCTACCCACAAGTAGGGAGAGCCGATGCTGATCAGAGAGGAAAGGTCACTTGTGACAGGAAAGGCCTATCACTGCCACATTTCCAGCTCAGTTTGTGAGCCTGAGCGTTTTCAAGCCCGTTGGAAACAAAGTGTAGGCAGTGAAAAGTGGTAAAGCAGAACCCCTGCTTGCTAAGAATCTGTCCCCGGTGTCTCCAAGCCCACATCCGTAAAGGGCGGAGGACGGAAGGGAGGATGGAGAGAAGGAGTTGCGGGAAGAGAGATGCGTGTGTCCTTCTCCGCTTTGGAATCGGGGACTTTCGAGCTCCTCTGAGAGCTGAGACCGTCGTTTAGCTCTGGATGTGTGAACTGCACTGTACCTCCGTGGAGGTGGGAACGTTAGGCTCCTCCGCTGCAGCCCCTGCAGATGCACGTGTTCTTTTTCGAGCTGAGCAGAATGGTTATATAATTGCATACTTCTCATAATTATTGAGTAATTATATACTTCTTATAATTACTGCGTAATCATTGTTCTGTAACTAGAACTTAATGTTACAACTAATTGTATAATCACATGTATTAATTTTGTTATCTGGGAAACTTAGAATAAAGAGGTACTTAATATATTTCCCCCCATCATGCCGTTTCCAAAGCTGCCAGTCGTGTTTGTTTTGCAGCTCCAATTCTGCTTAAAAAGCAAATAAACAAAACACAGGGTAAAAAGCCTTCATTGATATTGTAGAACTAGACATTTAGTCATTGGTCTTATATTTGCAGTTGGCCAGAAGTTGGTACACTGATGCTCCCATGGTTCCGTGGTGGTGTTTTTCTCATTGATGTGTGATTTCACATCTTTATAAGATGTGCACCACCAGGCCAGGGCAGGGGAGATGAAGCACCTGCTGGCTCCCTGCCAGTAAGCCGACCTCTGTGAAATCTTACAACAGAGTTTAGGACAATGGCGGCAGTTGCTTCAGCTGTAGCTGAAAATGTTTCCGAGGGTGTAGGCACCAGGAGGCCCTGAGAAAGCCCTCTGACACTGATTGTGTGATTGTTCTTAGACAAAGACTAGGAAGCACTCACATTGCATTGTTCCACCTTTCATTAGTACAGTTGCAGTACATACAGATTACATGCACGGTGGGGCAGAGATGCACAATGCGTCCTAATTTTCTTTGTTCCCTTTCGTCTCCCTCTGTCACAAGATCTCCTTTCCACTTACCAAAGATCTGGCTCCCTTTGCCTGTTTGCCTGTCCTTTCTTTAGCTCTTTAAACTATTTATACTTAGGGTTTCTCACATAAAAAAAAAAGTTATGCACTGTTTAAACTTGTGTGTCCAATTTCTTTCACTTAACATTATGGTCTCAAGGGGCTTCCGTTTTTCTGCAGAGAACTCAAGTTTACCCTTCTTTGTGACAGTGTAGTACTCCATCATGTATAAATACTACATTTTCTTTGCTCATTCATCTGTGGATGAACACATAGTCTACTTCCAAGATTTAGCTAGTTTGAGTTAGGCTGCTATAAACATTGGTATTCGTGGATTACATAAGAGAACATCTTTCACACTTTGGGATAATGCCTCGGGCAATGGCTAGGTTGAATGGTATTTCTCGTTTCAGTTTTTTGAGGGCTAATTGTAACCAGATTCCTTGCGTACAGAAATACTGTTTGCACATGATGTGAGCAAAGTACTCCTTGCATGTAACTGGAACTCAGACGTTGAGTCAAGTTAACTAGCTGTACAGACCAGTAAAGCTGTGTCTTGGGTTCAGAACTTCTTGCCAGTGCGAGCTCACATGTGTAGGAGCACATTTGCTTCACTCTTTTCATTTCAGGACCTTGAAATCACCAAGCTGTGCATCCTTCTTATCTGGTTTTCTTGTAACGGAGTAGAAATCATGATGCCTGTGTCTTAATCCATAAGCATCATATGTTTCCTTTAAAATAAAGCACTTCAGGGCCGGGGATTTAGCTCGGTGGCCCTGCTCGTGCCTTGAAAGTCTAAGGTCGTGAGTTCAATCCCCACTACCAAAACAAACAAACAAACAAACAAAATATAGCACTTCTTTGGATTTTCCAATTTCAAGTCTACAGTAATAAATTATTGGATACTATTAGGAATTTTTTCTGGTCATGGAAAAATATATTCCTGGATATTCGCACCAATAAAAATTTTAGCTACTTCCTCCATTCCAAAATTATAAATATCTTATTACACATTTTCTCTAGTTTTGAATTTTGGTCTGCTGCACCAAAATGAAAATGGTCATAGTTAGCAGACACACTTTTGCAGTTTTTAAACTTCATTGATTTCATAATTTGAAACATAATCTGATGGGACAATGGCTGGATGGTAGTTTGCTAATTAGAAAACAGAATTTTGATTAATGGTGCACTATTAGTTTGGGAGGGGTGGAGAACTTGATAGTAGGCAATTATTATGGAGAAAATAAAGTGCCAGGTGCATGCTTCTTAAGCATTTGCTAATCCTAAATGGTTTTAGAATTGTATTGTATTGGTTGTATTGGTCACAACAACGATAGCATCATTCTGAGTTATTCTGATCACTGTGATGAATGAGTGTTGGTGCCAGCCGAGGTGACAGTTTTTGATAAAGTAATAAAAGCAAAGTATGAGTATGGGTGAAACGCAGGCATTGTGCCTCAGAGTGACCGTGCTGTAGTTCTATCGAGTGCACTAAGGAACCCAAAACCTATGCTGGATAAAGAAATGGTCTCATTTAAATCATAATAAACCTGCACTTTGATTTTTATTTCCAGTTCACAGATGAAAAACTAGAGGTTCTGAACTACTAGGTAACTTAACAAGGAATGTATTACTGAGAAAATACAAAGACAGGTTCAAATGTGGGCCTCTCCAGCAACCAATTTTTTTTCCCATTGAGCTTATTGGTACATTTTAGGTATACAGTACAGTCACATTCATCATTGGATCCTTGTACCTTTACATGACAGGTCTTGGTTCTCATTTTTTCCCCATACCCCTGCCCTCCCTTCACCCCCTCTCCCCTCCCCTATTTACAAAGTCTTTGTTTCAAATTTTTCCTTTTCTCATATTTTTCTTTTCCCTTATTTCCTTTCCCCTGCCCTTCCCACTTCCCCGACACCTTTAGCCCTTTTCTTCCTATTTCACATTGTCAGTTGTACAATTTGGATATTATTTACATTTTTAGTTTTTCACACCAGAGAAACTATTCGGTATTTACAAGTGAAATAAATAAACAACCAAAATTTTTATATTCATTCCTGTGACCTACACTTTGCAACTAAGCTATGTTAAAGTGCACTTTTGTAAATTTTGTAACCATTAAAATTTCTTTACTGTACAATACAAGATCACTTTTAGTATATGGTCATCTTTTACTTAATCATTTAATAAATAAAGATTATATCAGTATTTGGAGATCATACAATATTTTGTGTTTTTTATTCATTTTCTTTTATCTGCAGAATTTGTAGAAAAGAAAAACTGTTCATATAATAAAATAAATACATGTTCATATAATAAGTGTTTGGGTAAAGTAGGAATGCCTACCTTAAGTTAATTTTGATATTCTTAATGGTCCTTCTTCTGTTTTTTAAAGAATACAGTACATATAACACATTCTAATATTTGAAGTGAAGCAATGTTTTGCAAAGGTTGACTCATGTAAAATGTTCCAGAAACTGTTAAAGCAGAATGAATGCTGCAGTTTTTAGTGCTCATCATTTTCTTATTTTAATCCCAACTTCTAACTCCTCTTCGCTTGGAGCGTGAGCCGTGCCGAGCGGGGAGAGACGTGGTGCCCAGGCAGGAGTGCTTCCTGTGTCGTGGCTGCGCTGAGCTGAGACTGGAGGGCGCTCCCGTGGCAGCTGAGAAAGGCCCGGCTGTCAGGGCCCAGGGAGGAGAGACTGGAAGTGATTCCATACACAGCCAGGCACCTCTGCATTTTCCCGTGCACCCCAAATCAGTCTTTCATCAAGGAGAACACGTTACCTCTAATCCCCAGTTGATGTGTAAGATATGCTAACCAAATCTGACACAAAGGAGCATTAAGCAAAAAGGAAATCACCCTACCTCTCGTGCAAAATGAAGCCAAGACACCATAGTGGATGATATAGAAAATGCCAGGCGTGTATCTGAGTGTACCATTTATATCCAGAAACCATCCTGTGAGGAGGAAAATATGTTATTCTGTCTGCATACCAGTGAAAACAATCATAGATTAATAAAATTCCTCAAAAAATGTAACCAGCTCATCAAATGACTCATTTATCTGTCTACAGTATTTTTACTGATGTGGGCAGGGCTTGTGATATGAATTCATAGTGTCTTAAAGTAGCCATCGGGTTATTTTGACCGCTGTGAGAAATGAGTTCGAGGTGGTAACTCAGGTAACATTCTCTTCACAATAGTAGTAGTAAGTGGGTGGATGGAACATCTGCGCTGCCTTTTAGGGATGTGCCATTATAACTCTCTTCAGTGTACGTTGTATATTCAGTAACCCAAGGAAATATTCAAATAATGGCAGGAAATAACCCTTAAGTATATACTGATTTTACTAATTTTCTGTTTAACCAGCAGGAAATAATTACACTCTTCTGAGTGGCACAAAAGTCATGCACAGCAGCGAAGCAGCCAACCTGTGGGTGCCCGTGGTTGGGTTGGTCCCTTTCAGCAACTACACTGTGCAAGTGAACGCTTCCAACAGCCGGGGCAGCTTGGTAAGCGAGCCTGTAACCATCACCACGCCTCCAGGGGGTAAGTCTGGCTCTGTAATCTTATATAAATGCCCTAGAACTAAGCTGCCATTGAACGCCTTGTTATTGTTGGAATTAATTTTTATTTCTAGACCTCAAAGGCTCAATTGTATTTCTGGTTGTTGGGTGGTCTGGTTTGGTTTTATTGAGACGC